CCCCCCCCCCCCCCGCCCCGCCCACACATCGTGTTCTCTATACCTGCAAGTATTCTTTACATAGTGTATTCCAAAATAATCATTATCTGATAACGCCTCTCATTCACAGTGTGACTTCACAGGCAGTGAAACGGACAATAAGGAAGGAACAAATAGAAATTCACTCACTGCTATTTCTAAAGGAACGTAACTCCCATTATTTTGGATTTCACTGGAGCAGACAAAATGACAGTGAATTAAGACGCCTTTAAATTTTTGAGAAAATAAGGTGAAAAAGAGCGTCTACTTGATGGTCATTCGCGAGAAGTGGTGTATGGTAACTGAGTAACGCGGATAAATGACCATTTTGTATTGTATTGTATTGTATTCAAGCTTTAGCAAGTTATATTACAAGCTTTCAGCCAAAAATAGACCACAGTTACAATTCTGATAAAAACAGAGGGAAAAAGTGGGATGTGAAAACGTATAAGGCATGAGTAAATTNTACCAAATGCATTAGAAAGCTCAGAGTGAACACTTTCCTTGTCGGTCAGTATCCGGGCAAGATAGGGTACCAAAGATTTTCTGTATACGGATATGCGAGACGGGATAAGTTTGTACTTGGAACGGGTGCAGGGGTGGGATTTGCATGCACACAAGTCAGTGTGTAGAGGATGGGTGCAATCAGATAGGATATTGTCAGCAAACTTCAAGTATGCATCAATATGGGCATTACACATATTGCCAATCAGAACAGATAATGAAACTTGGGAGACACGGCTGATAGTTGAGAGGCTACGCCTCAGCAACTTGAAATCAGCCTTCAACAAACCAGGGAAAATTACATGAGAGCAATAAAGGGGTATAGGAAGGACACATTGTTGAACGAAAGTGTTTAGCACCGACGAGTCAGAATAGAATTGGCGCAGTCTTCTGATCTGAAAAGAGAGCCTTTCAACTTGCGAGCAATACTTTGGGTATGTAAGGACCAGCGAAGGATACTTTCAAGTGTGACACCTAAGTATTTCACATGGCTGACCCTGCTCATCGGCTTTCCATGAATCTGGACATTGTCGGAGGGAGATGGGGTACGAATTAGAGTGAGAATACATTCAAGGCATTTTTCAGGATTAAGATTAAGACCGGAAGAAGTGGAGTATGAAACGAGGTGGGATAGGTTTTTATTATATTCAGTCAGTTCTGATTGGTTAGATATGGAAACAGAAATGGCG